CAACCTGGCTTCTGCTCACACAGCTCCAGTCCACTCTTCCCTCCCTCTGCTGAAACACAGGTGAATGGCTGAACATGGAATTTTGTACATTGGCCCTTTAAGTGGGTGCCCACATTTCCAGCCATCTTTTCCTGGCAGACAGCAACCATTCTGCTTTACACAGTCAGATATTATGTGGGCACTTTTCTCAGTTCTGGTGCTCTCTGCTGGGGGGCCCAGTTTGTGGACAGAGTTCTCTCATTGGCAACTCCCCACAACTGAGCTATCTCTCTGGCACTTCAGCTGCTGTCTGTAGGAGCCAGTCCAGCCCTCTCATGCCTCCGCCTTTCCTACCAGTCTCTATGCAGTCCCCACTTTCCATTCTTACTTATCAGGGTTCTCTCTAGCTAGTCTTCAGTTGATTATTCAGGATTTTTTTTGTATTTTAGTTGTAATTCCAAATTACAACTAAAGCCGGGAGCATGTCTGTGTAGCATCCACTTACTCCGTCGCCATTTCTTGTCTGTTCTTTCTCAATGTTACCTTATCTATCCAGGATCTTTTGTAGTCCCATATAAATTTTGGAAATTGTTCTAATTCTGTGAAAATGCCATAATTTTTTATAGTGATGGCATTGAATCTGTAGTTTGTTTTGGGTAGCATGGACATTCTAACAATACTAATTCGTCAAATTTATAAACAAGTTTTTGTTTTTTTCTTTACTTTCTTTCATCATTGTCAAGTTTTCAGTGTATAGATCTTTCATTTCCTTGGTAAAATTTATTCCTAGATATTTTATTCTTTTTGATGAAATAGTGAATAGGATTGTTTTCTTAATTCCCCTGACAGGTATTAGTAGATAGAAATGCCAAAGACTTTTGTACATTGATTTTGTATCCTGCAAGTATACTGAATTATTTTATTAGTTCTAACAGTTTTCTGATAGTCTTTAGGGTTTCTATATATATAATATCATGTCTTCTGCAAATAGAGAAAATTTCACTTCCACCAGAGAATATAGTAACATACATATAACATATAACAGAATATTACAGATATTAAGTTAATCCTTTAGCTCATATATAAATGTTTAATACAAGTGATTTATAAATTAATAATACATGACATATATCATAAACAAGAATTCTACAAATAGATATGAATTATGATGAAATCTATTAATATCCTGACATCTTGTCCAAGCACTTTGAAAATTCTGTTTTCCATCCCTGGGAGGCTCTTATGCTCTTTCATCTAATTTATTGCTATCATTCCTTCAGAGCTCAGCTCAAATTTTCCCTGGCTTCCCAGACTAAGTCAAGTGCCCTGTTATACTTTCTCATCATACCATGTAATCCTTTCATGATTACAATTACATAACAATGTGTCTTTTCACTATCTTTTAGTTCTGTAAAATCTCTGATAACAAGGACTTAACTATCTTATTTTCTATTTTATTCCTAAAACCAAGCTCAGAGATTTACAGACTGAATGAATGAATAACTATGGAATAATTATTAGAAGAATTTTCTGGCTTATATATTTATTTAAATAGAATTGCAGACTTACTCTTTTAAGACCCCCATCTTGCTATTTACCAATTTTTCTTCTGGTATTTAAAATACAATTAACTTTTCTGTTAAGGTAAGTTCAAATAATGCAGAAACTTTTCTTTTTAAGAAACATTATTATTTGACAAACCAGTAGGATAATTTACTTTCTTTTGTCTAGCAGTGTCCATCTTAAATAAGATTTGCTTCTGCTTAATACATTATTCCTTTCATGGTCAGTAGTAAAAAAGCTAGTAAGCAATGAAACAGAAGTCAACAAATAACATAATTTTTTAAAAAGTACTTTGATAAGCCTTAAAAGCATTTTCACAGTACAATACTAAAAAGTTAACAAAGATTATATAGAAGAAAAGGGAGGAAGGGAGGGAAATCCACATAGGCACTGAAACAAGAATAACACTTCTTGCTTACAAACAACATATTTCTATTAATACTTACTTTATTTTCCCCAGAAATCAATAGAGAATAATGGAAACTATTTTTGTAGCTTTCAAAAGAAACATAAAAATATTCCTTATAACTTACCTAGCTCTCTTTTACACTACCTCACTCACTTCTTGAGAGAACTGCTTATCCCTCCAACATTTCTATGGTTCTGATGGGGCTGCTATTGTGGATCTCATTTCCCCTAGCCATGGGTGGGCTTGTCATCCGACCGAGACAAAAATTTTACCATATTCTCCTCAATACAGTGGGCATACATAATCTTAGCTGGGGATTAGAGGTGGAAGGAGGGGATTTCTTCTCCCATCTATACATATAAAAGCCTAAGCAACTGTTCAACCAGTAGCTATGATGCACACTGACCACCAGGGGGGCAGACGCTCAACGCACAGGCATGGAAACATGGAACAGACTGATGAATCTCAGAAGGGAGGTGGGAGGGGGGGGAGTGGGATGAAATTAACCAAAGATCTTATATGCATACCAGAGGCCTGGTGCACTGATTCATGCGCCGGTGGGGTTCCTCGGCCTGGCCTGCACCCTCTCGCAATCCAGGACCCCTTGGGGGATGTTGGACTGCCGGTTTCAGCCCAATCCCTGGAGGCTGGCCGAGGGACCCCACCAGTTCACGAATCCATGCACTGGGCCTCTAGTGGTTAATAAAGTAAGCTTGATCCCAGAATTGTCAGCAACCAAAAGAGAATGAAACCCAAAGGGAAAAATGGAATGGGAGAGAACAGTTCTAGATGATATTTTCTTCTCTAGATTCAGAAAAATCTAGAAACTAGTTCTAGTCCTTGCTTTTCCATGGTTTAGTCATCTAATAAATCCTCCCCCCCTTTTATTGCTTAAACTAGCTTAAGATTTGTCAGTTACAACCCAAAAGTCCCAATACATTTCCTATATTCATTTAGGCTTGATAAATATAAAAATCATAGTTTTTTTAACTGCCTTGTTCTTACAAATCTAAGTAATGATATATCCTAAATGCTCCTTTTCTCTCAATTATTGGGGTATAATTGACCAATAGAAATTGTATATATTTAAGGTGTACAACTTCATTTTTTATATACATAATATGGTGAAAGATCACCACAATCAAGCTGATTAATATATCCATCACCTCAGAGCTCCCCCCCCTACAATTTTAAATATATACAAGTAAACCTTTAAAGAAGCATGAAGTACATGTATTCTTTTAAGTTATATGTAAATAAAACAAAAATATATAGCTCATATACATGAAAATGACACATCTTTAAGATTTAAAAATGCTACATTATTGTAGATATAAACACTGTAAACTTAGAGCACTCTAAATTTACAAAAAAATGTTTTTCTAGTAATAATAAATTAACCTTAGTTTACTGTATCATTTTACTTTACTATATAAACTTTTAAATTTTAACTTTTTAATTCTTGTAATAACTTCGCTTAAAACACAAACACATTGTGCAGATGTACAAAAATATTTTATATTCTTATTCTGGTTTTTCCATTTTTAATTTTTTTACTTTTAACATGTATACATTTTTTATCGAAACTTAAGACACAAGCATATACATTAGCCTAGGCCTAAACAGGGTCAGGATCATCAATATCACTGTCTTCTACCTCCATATCTTGTCCCCCTGGAAGGTCTTCAGGGGCACATGGATGGAGTTGTATTCTCCTATGATAACAATTCCTTCTTCTGGACTACTTCCTGAATGACCTGCCTGAGTCTCTTCTTGAGGTCTCACTCTTTTCAGAAATATGTCCACAATGGTTTACTTGGTTTATTCCTTTTTTTCGCATAGATTTGCTTGTAAGCAGATAATGTACGATAAACATTCCTTTCTATTAATGAAAACCTTTTGGTGTTAGAGTTCAGGTTTTCAAACTTTTTAAGAAGCTTGATGAGGTCTTCAAAAGCTTCTTCTAAATCCTGCATTGGGAATTTTTTTCTTGTTCTCCTGCAATTTCCTTTTCTCTTTCCTCTTCTTCATCTATACATTCCTTTTCCAGTTCCAACTACTCTTAATTAGTCAATTCTTCAGGAACCACCTCTAGGAGTTCCTCATTGTAATTCTCATCCACATCCTGGTTAAAGTTGTTTGCCATCTCAACCATAGCCTTGGTGATTTTTGCAACCTCTGCACTAAGATACTAGGCAACAGTAATTTTTCAGCTCCATTATAATATTATGGGACTACCATCATACATGTGGCTCTGTCACTGACCAAAACATCATTATGTGATGCATGACTGTACACAAAAATAATATATAAAACAGTAAGAGTTTCACAAAATAGTACCTCTTCTATGTGAAGTACTCATATTTTCTACTATGTTTTATAATGTTGATAAATATTTCAAAACCTACCCTTGTGATGTAGTGCAATTTGAGGCACACAAAAAACAAATTAAGTTGTGATGACTCTCCTCTCTTTTCCTTTCACTATATTTCTCTTTTACTTCTTTACTATAATTTTAGTAGGATCTAGAAGGGTAACTCTCCTCTCTTTTCCTTTCACTATATTTCTCTTTTACTTCTTTACTATAATTTTAGTAGCATCTAGAAGGGTAAAAATGATAAACGCAAGGCCTGAGTCTGATCTTTAACTCAAAGCCCTCTACAAGTATTTTTAAAAACCATGAGTTTCCTAACCTTTTTCTGGCTGATTTAAGGTCCCTCTGCTAATTATGATGGCCTTAATTGCTGTATTCTGGGAGTTACCATTACAGCTTCCAAAGGCAATCTAAGGAATTAAAAGGGAAAGGGGAAGAAAAAGGAAAGTGCTGATAGTGACGTAAGAATCTATATAACAATTCCATTTAACTGTAAAACTAAATGTAAAATTGTGGTTAATTGTTCAAAATTAAACATAGTTAAATAAATAAATGGAAATTTCTTTTTGAGGGAAGACTTTAGGAAAGGTGTCTTCCACAAAGAAAATAATCAAAAATCAATTTTCAAATACACCGTGATAAATAATATTTTTATAAGTAATAACGAGTACTTACAAGGCAAGGCTACTTAACACATATTGTACGTGCTCACATTCATCTGGGAATGATGCACTGGCTGATGTAAAACAGGAAAGTGCAGTCTGAAGAACTTGAAGTTGCGGCAAAGGGACTTGCCATCTTCCAGCATAATCTTCAACCACCTGATAGGGAAGCAATCCAAAAAGTATATTATGATATAAAATGTCCTCAACATCTCCAGTTTAAAATTTGAATAAAACTTAGTAGATAAATTAAAATATTAGTTATGCCTGAACACAAATGATGGGGGGGAAGGGTTTTTTATTGTTTATTTTCATGGTGAACATCTAAAAAAAAATTAACTATTTTCTTTGAATATTTGGAAAAGAAATATATTATATAAATGACTGTACCATTCAGCTGCCAAATATTTACCAAACTTTGTAGCACATACTCTTCACCTCCTATGTTTAGCTTTTGTCAAAATACTAATATTAAAATAGCTAGACAGCAGAATATAGTATTAAAGTAAAAATAAGTATGTATTATTATTATCTTTATTTATAGGACTGAACTCTAAGCCTTCTGGCAACAATCGAGTATTAAAGATATAGTGGCATGATGCTCTAATTATGGAAGTTAAAACTGTACCATGTTATGGAGAAAAGGGTGCAGAATATAATCAGGCTTGGCTCTGTCATTGGGTAGTTCATTTTTCTTCTCTATGAATTACTTTTCTCACCATAAAATGGAACTAATGCTTGTCTTGCATGTTTACTCTTAAGTTGAGATAATTTATGTAAAAACACTTTAGAATGATCAATCACTATAAAATATTGATATACATCATGTAGCTATAAATCTATATAAAATTATTCATATGCAAGACTGCTGCTATATTAAAACAATGTATTATATTTTAAAAATTTATCATATAAAACGGATTGACCAACTATGGCCTGCAAACCAAATTTGTCATGCAACCTGCTTTTTGTATAACCCACAAGCTAAGAATGGATGTTATATTTTTAAATGATAAAAAAATATTTTGTGATGTGTGAAAATCATATGAAATTCAAATTGAATGATATTCTATAAAAAAAATTGATCAGTACTCTTCAAACATGTCAAAATCATGAAAACCAAGGAAAAACTGAAGAACTATTACAGACTAGAAGAGACTAAGGAGAAATAACAGCTAAATGCAATGTTAGATCATAAATAACCAGGAACAGACAAAAGCATTAGTGAAAAAACTGGTAAATTTCTAATAGGGTCTATAATTTAGTGAATATTACACCAATGTTATTTTCCTGTTCTGACAACTGTACTATTTTCTATTAAATATAAAGTTAGCTCAATTTTTAAAAGTTATTTTAAAACAAAACTATTTTGTTCCAACCCTTTACCTCAATTTCCAATATTCTCATTTATTTTCTGGAGGTTTTTTTATAAAATAAGCACAATTCTTCACATATTTTCCCTACTTTGTTTCCTGACTACACATCAAGATTTACCCTTGCCTATGGGTATTTTTTAATAGTCACTTAGAAAAATAAAGCAGGTAGGTTGGCAGCACTGTGGAAAGAGTATAGGTTTTGGAATCTAACAGCCCTGACTTTGTCACTAAACAGTTGTGTAATATTAGCAGAATTATTCTTCTCAGTCTATAAAATGAATTTAACATCACTTTAATCACAGAGCTACTGAAGAACTAAGTAAGATATATATTAAAATCTAGGGTAATTCCTGGCACATAAGAAACAAGAGCTATTATTACCAGTATACCTTGTTTTAAGAAAATGGCAAGATTAAGCTTACTTCGGTGGCTCTTTCATCATATCAGTCTGAACTGTTTAATTATTTGTCTTCAAGGATGATTAATTACAAATTTAACTTTTGGCAAGCAGACTGGCCACACCCAAATACAATCTATTCCAAAGGTATTGCTGCGTTTCAACTGTTAGTTCAATACTCATTGAAAAATGAAGCATATCCTAGATACAGCAATACAAATAAAATGCTTCATGCCTGAACAGATAACTGAGGATGCTTTCTCTGCCTCCCCCAATTCCCCCTTGCCCAGTTTTCCATTGAGAATCAAGATGACAAAGAAAAGCTCTATTCAAAAAAAGAAGAGTCACTTGTCATTTGATTTTTTCTATCAGGATAATCATGTAAAGAAAGTCTAAAATTAAAGTCTTATTTAAAAACCCCAGCAAAATGATTTGGAAGTAGATTCTAGTAAGTTAAAGTTGTTTGAAATTTGCAAGGGGTTAATCTTTGGTACAAGCAATCTAAAACCCAGTTCTTTTGGGGGCCCAATAAAGCATATTGTCTGTTCAGCTCATTACTCAAGATAATATTTATATAACATTAAGGTCTTTAATAGGTTCTGTAAATGTAGTAAGACTAAACATTTAACAAAATGGAAAATGGAGTAACTAAGTATCTCTAAATCTTAATATACCATATAATCTTACTATTAAAAGGAATCTTCGTCCTAACCGGTTTGGCTCAGTGGATAGAGCATCGGCCTGTGGACTCAAGGGTCCCAGGTTCGATTCCGGACAAGGGCATGTACCTTGGTTGCGGGCACATACCCAGTAGGGAGTGTGCAGGAGGCAGCTGATCGATGTTTCTCTCTAATTGATGTTTCTAACTCTCTATCCCTCTCTGTAAAAAATCAATAAAATATATATATTTTTAAAAAGAATCTTCATGATGATCTAGTCAAAACTACCAACCATAGAAGGAATATCACTCCCAGAAGGCTCTAATCTCTTTCTTGAGTTCTCTGCATCCATAGTGTGAGGCAGGCTACGTCTCCCATGGACCACCTGAGTATCTGCTTAAAGTCCCAACTTTCCTCTTAAGTACATCCAAAGAAAGAAAGTAGGCAGGCTAATTTTTAAAGGCTTTAGATAAAGTTTGATCCCAAATTTTTCATTTGATTCCAGACACACTAGGGAGAGTAACATATCAAGCATTTCCCTCATAAATATTAAAACTGACATATAAATAAGGAAAGCCCAAAATTATAAGCATAAAGAAATGTATATGAACATTAAATAGAAATGTGGGGTGAACCTATCTATTTGTGTGCCTGCAGCTAGTGGTATCCACACATGTGTGTGCACAATAATGTCTTAACTAGGGTAAGCCAAACAGAACTCTGCCTCTGACTTCAGTTTAGGACTGCCTGGCCATAGATGGTATTGCAGGTATGGCTAAGACATTGGTTTAAGGCCACAATGGGTTCTTAAACTGGACCGGAGGGCCAGAACAAAAGCATGGATGGAGTGTTTGTGTGAACTAATATAAATTCAAAGTAAACATCATTACATAAAAGGGTACGGTCTTTTTTTTTTTTTTAGTTTTATTCATTTCAAACGGCCGGGCCTGGCGTAGTTTGCCCACGGCTGGTCTAGCCTTTAAATCGTTAGTATTAGTCCTAGATTAGCTGGCCTAATTCTGCCCCCCTCTCTCTTAATTTTGTTCTCAAAGAGTAGCTCTTAGATTCATGTGACTTGTCCAAAGGCTTCTATAGTCACTTTCATAATATGATCTCAAGTAGTTTCTGAGATTTGGACATAAATCTAATCAAAGCTGTAGATATGAAGATTTTTTCTGAACTCAACAAAGATGGCCAGTGGATTTTATCAAGTAAACAGATAATGAAGGGCATCCTTCCTTCCTATATAATAAAAGGGTAATATGCAAATCGACCAAATGGCAGAACGACTGGTCGCTATGATGTGCACTGACCACTAGGGGGCAGTCACTCAACACAGGAGCTGCCCCCTGGTGGTCAAATGTGCTCACACAGGGGGAGCATGGCGGGAGCCAGGCTCACGGAGGTGGCTGGAGCCTCTCCCACCTCCATGGCGATACTAAGGATGTCCAACTGCTGGGAGTGGACATCCCCTGAGGGCTCTTAGAATGCGAGAGGGTGCAGGCTGGGGTCAGGGACCCCTCCTCGCCCCCCGAGTGCACGAATCTCGTGCACTGGGCCCCTAGTATTATTATATAGGGCATAAATCAGTTTCTTATGCAGAAAGAAAACTCAATGAAATTATTACAAATCCAAAGACCAAAAAGGAACTTTAAAAGGCCTATGCCTCAAACACTAACTTTAGGTACCAGGTTTGCTCAGCCTTAAGAAGAACTAAGCTTGTTTTAAAAAGATGATCACTTACAATTAAAATGATAGTGGGAGAGTTTTAAAAAAATAAGATTATGTTAATTAATATAAAAGAAAAGGACTTCCTTACAAATAAATCATTCTAAGAACCTAGACTAGACAGATTTGAAAAAGAAATATATATATCAGAACTATGTATTCTTGAAGATGAAATAGGGAGAGGGAAGGAGTGTTTTAGTTGTTACTCCTTAGAAAGGAAGGGTGACTGGTCCAAAGCTACCTAACAAAGGAATAGAAGGTAACTGTAGGATAGAAATCTCAGAGTGAACCAGAATGGAAATCCAACTACAGCAAATCCACAGCTGGGCAAAATCATCTATCACAATGCCCATTTTATAATAGAGTATCTTACCACATATCACTAGCCCAGAAAAGATAAAAATTCAAAATACAGTTTCTATTGAATGCTTATTGCTCTTGCACTATTGTAAAGTTAAAAAATCGTAAGTGAAATTATTGTAAGTCAGGGACTGTCTATGGTTATTACATAGGCAATGTATGGTATGGCAAGGTATCACAAAGCCAAGTGCCCCAGGAACTCAAAGTTAGGCCTCTGGGTGTGAATAAGGAAATGCCACACTGAAGAAAAATAAAACACGTCAATCCTAGGTTTGATGTTGAACTAGTAAAGAAAATGAGAGTAGGCAAAATCTGTTTGCTAATGAATGCTTTTTGATGAACTCAGAATTCCTTGACTTTCATCTCTGACATTATGGGAGATCTTATAAGAGATAATTGAAGAATATTAAAATCTGGGCCCAAAAGGTAAGAGAAAGGAAAAGGAAGACAGGAGAGGCCAACTTAAGAATAGGCTAAGCTGTAACCGGTTTGGCTCAGTGGATAGAGCGTTGGCCTGCAGACTGAAAGGTCCCAGGTTCGATTCCGGTCAAGGGCATGTACCTTGGTTGCAGGCACATCCCCAGTAGGGGTTGTGCAGGAAGCAGCTGATGACGTTCTCTCTCATCCATGTTTCTAACT